GAAAAAAAATCACACTATAAAACAGCCACAAAGAACTCGAATATTTACAGGTAAGAACAAAGAGAAGCTGGCGAACAGGGACGAGAAAGAGGAACCATATATATAAGTCATGCTACAGAAGTCACTGTTTTCCCTCAGTTATTATTCATTTTTAGTTTTATGAATGGATTCTTCAGGGTCAAGATACTTTCTCCAAGGTCTGAGGGAGGTCATTCATTTTTATGTGGTTCTCAATCAGCTGCTGAGCCCAAAATATTACAGTTCACTTACTGGCAAATTTCTTTAAGTTTATTCACATATAGCCATTTTCCTTAAGAAGCATTCCCAGATCACCAGGATGGCTGGTGGATTCACCTAAACTCTGGCCTAGAACCAACAGTCTTCTGATGTCTTGGGTTTTTACCTGAAGTCATTGGTGTACAGCCAGTTTCTTTCCTTTATCATGGTGAGTTAATTTCCTCTCAGGGACTCCTTTTGTCTTCTCCTACAATGAAAGCAAATTGCTCTTCAGTAATGGGAAGATAAGAACAGGGTGAAGAGATATTCCCCTCAACACTTTCAATTTATTATCAGATTTCTCAATACGGTTTACATAACTGATGAAGATGAAGATGTACTAGGACGTAGCAAGTGAAGGGAATGGCAACCCAGACACTATTCATTTCAGAGTGACAGAAGTTTTCTTGGTATAACAAAGCCAGGAAGAACTGGCAGAGGCACCATGGTGTGGCACTCTTATCACTATGTGCTTGAATGCATGACTAGAATTGTGGTATATGGCCTTGAAATATAGCTATGTGACGAAAGATTGGAACAATGGCTTTGACCTATAAAAGAAAGAATATAGACAGGGTGTACAAATTGGGTGATGTGAAAATAATAAATATCCAATGCAAATAATGTGTAGTTGTGATTCTTAGGAAAGGAGTAGCATATGTACATCAGAACTGCCAGGGGTTGTATGGGAGTTCAAAGTTTGAAAAGCCATTCTGATACATAATTCTGATAGAGATTATGCTGAATGAGCCTAAATTTTTTCCAGCCTCCAATATGCCTAGTTGAAAATTATTATTACATAATAAATCTAGTAAAATATAAAATAATAAACTGGGAAAATATATTTGCAACATATACAGCAGACAAACTGTCAATAACTTTATTACATAAAGGTTGCTTATAAATAAGAAAAATAGACACAACTATTGGAAAATGTGCAAAGAATGCAAATAGACAATTCTTAAAGATAAATTCCAATAAAAATGATAAACTGTTAAGCAACCATGAAATATCAATATTTACCTATTAGATTGGTAATAATTACAATTAAAAAGTACAATTAAATTCATTAATGAGAATGAAATGTGGGGAAACAAGCACACTTTCATAAATTTGGGTGGAATTGTGAATTTGTACATTTCTGGAGAGTAAGTGGGCATGATGTATCAAAATTTTTAAGTGTCAAATCCTTTGACCCAAAAATGTCCCTTGTAGAAATTTATGCTAAGAATGATTAGACAAGTTCACAAAATTGTGTATATGGGGATACTAACAGCCAAATTGATATAATAGTTCAAATTTAAATTGAAATAATCTAAATGCTCATCTACATGGCAGTGGTTAAATAATTATGGTATATCCATATAATGGAATATTAAGTAGTTGATATTACCTTGAAAAGTGTTCCTGATATATTGTTAAGTTTTTAAAAAGCAGATTATAAAATAGCATTATAAAAAATAACCATTTGTGTAAAGAAAAAAAGGCATACATAAGCATGTAAAATTGTTAAGAATGGGAGATGAAATTATGGGGGTATTTCATTTTGTTTTATTGTTATTTTATCAACGCTCATGTATTATCAGGAGAATCTATATCCATTTAATCAAATAAATAATAATTGCATACAAAGTAACAAAAAAGTAAATGTCTTAAATTTACAATGAAAGATGTCTTATGGCAAAAATTGTACTTCCAAATTAGTCAAGCACTTATATTATGGATACTACATATTTTTTTAACTTTATGAAGTGGTAAGCAGAATTTTTAAAAGACTAGAATTAATAGCAATAAGTATTATCAAAAATTTTCTCGGTTTTCTATAACTAGTATGCATTTAGCAAAATTTACTGCATACAAAGTAACAAAAAAGTAAATGTCTTAAATTTACAATGAAAGATGTCTTATGGCAAAAATTGTACTTCCAAATTAGTCAAGCACTTATA